CGTCCACGTTTCACTGCCGTATAGAAGAACGGACAGTACCATGGATTTGTACACCATCAGCTTTGTGCCAATGGTAAGCTGATGGTTGTTCCACACTCGGTACTCAAGCTTCCCGAATGCCGCCGCTGCCTTCGACACGCGATTACGCAACTCAACGTGTAGCTGCTGGTCGGTCGACATCACACTCCCAAGGTAGCAGAAGCGGGAGGTGGTTTCCAATACTTCAGCACCAATGCTGATTCGCGGCAATATTGAAGATTGCACCTACAGTGAAGGCTGAAAGAGACAGACAGTTTTGCTTGTGTTGATGGTGAGCCCGAATTTGGCCGCTGTCAAAGCCAGAGCACTAGTCATGTGCTGCAACTCATCCGCGCTGTGTGAAAACAACGCACAGTCGTCAGCGAACAGCGACATACGGATAGTTGTCTCACAGACTAGAGTTCTCGCACCGAAACGACGGATGTTCAGCAACCCACCATCAATACGGTGCTCCACACGAACACCGTAAGCACAAGCGGCATCAAAAGCACAAGATAACATTGCATGAAGATATATATTAAACAGGGCAGGAGCTAAGACACAGCCTTGCTTCACACCAGAGACAACTGCAAAGTCATCCGAGGTCTCTCCACTCAGCTGCACCCTCGCTCGCATACCACTGTGCAGACATACAAACTTATGCGGGCAACCAAACTTACCCAACACCAGCCACAATGCCTCGCGGTTCACCGTATCAAATGCTTTGGTGAAATCGACAAAAAGCGAGTACAATGGCTGGTGTCGTTCTCTGCACTTCTCTTGCAACTGACGAGCCGCAAACACCATATCTATGGTGCTGCGACCCGAACGGAATCCACACTGCTCCTCCGCCACGTTAGGTTCCACGACCTGACTGACGAGGCGGTTGAGCAGGATTCGGGCAATCACCTTGCCCACACAACTCAGCAAGTTGATGCCACGATAATTCGTACAACATTGCTTGCTACCTTTGCCCTTGTACAGTGGCAGCACAAGGGCATCCTTCAGCTCAGGAGGCACCTCCTCAATCCATACACGTTCCACCAGATGGTACAGCGCAGTCAACAATGCGGGTCCGCCGTGTTTCAATACTTCCGGCGGGATCCCGTCACCTCCGGCACATTTGCCGTTTCGCAGCTGAGCAAGTGCTCTCTGCGTCTCATCCATTGTCAGCGTATCCGCCAGATTCGCCTTCACATCGTGCTGCCTCAGGCCGTTCAATGTAGACCAGTCGATCTCTGAACGGTTGTTCAAGAGACAGTCAAAGTGTTTCCGCTAGATCTGCATTATGTCTGCAGTCTGCGAGCAGGTAGTGCCTGAACTACCATCGATCAGTGTCCTCAGAGGCTCCAATCTCGGTCCATATACCGCCTTCAAGGAGTCAAAGAATTCCTTGTGTTGGCGGCGTTCGGCGTAGCATTCCATCTGCTTCGCCTTCTCCGTCCACCATGCATTTTTAATGCGACGGAACTCTCGGGTCAGTCGCCGTCGAAGTTTGCGAAACTGACTACTCTTTCCCAAGTCACTGGGATCTGCAACATGTGTAGCAAATCCTGCATTCTTCTCCGACATCAATGCGCCGATCGTAGCATTGTTCTCATCAAACCAATCAGGCCGCTTACAGTTTGCGCGCCCGATGGTCTCCTCGGCAGCAGCTGTCACCTGGTCGCGAATGTGGTGCCACAGGTCGCCCACTGTGGCTATGCCTTCCACATCACACAGGCGTGCAGGCATCGCCTTCTCCAGCTCAATACGTTTCGCCACAGTACCGAGGGAGAGAATGTTAAATTTACGCCGATTCACGGCGGGAGTGCAATACTTAGGTTTACGAAAACGTATGTATACACATACACTTTTACCCACGAGACGGAGCACATGTTCTTGGACTGGTTAGGTGACTCACCCTTCACCCGGCCGCTGGAAAGAAGTGTGTTTCGGAAAGCGACGTGAGTCGGTCAGTACACATAGTTTCTCTGTTTTATACCCTTGAAGTACAAACGGAATCTTTTTCGTTGCTTATATTTTCACGCTACCAATATTTGCAACCCAGCGACATTGGTAAGCCGAGAAGAACCATATACTGCAAACCCAGTCCCGTTCATTCAAAAGCACTCAGTGGTTCACGATCGTCATAAACTGAATGAAACCGTTTCAAAGAAACGTGTTTCTCCCAGTTCCATTTCAGGGAGATATTGCATTCGATTGGCTAAACATAAGAGTTTCCGCTGCAATAGCTCGAACGTACCCAGCGGCCTATCCAAGCGTGTATTGCGGAAACCGCGCCGTTTGTAGCCCAAAGTCTCAAAGACATACTCGCGGTCCAGTCTGAATCCTACATTCTATATCATGTTACTTGCACCTGTACTGTGAGGTACATCGGACAGATGACTAAGAGTCTGTCTAAACGGTTAGCAGAGCACTGTCCTACCGCATTGCAGAAAAGGTACTGTCACATACATCACGAGTTATATCCTAGAACATCGAGGGGAATATGAACACCAAATCAGGACTGCAGATGCTTTCAAAGTAATTTTTGTTGAATGAAAAGTTAACCCAAAGGGATTAGAAAACGATTGCTACGGATGGACGAAGCCATTGCAATCAGGATAACACGACCCCGAGCTATACAGACAGAAGGTGCATGTTCAAGTGCTCCTTCTACCTTGGGGATTAACACACTTCCAGACAGACTTTACTCCACATGCTGACAGCGGCCGGGTGATGGGTAAGTCACCTAAACAATCGAAGAATATGTGCTACGTCTCGTGGTTAAATGTGGTGTGTGGTATACCGGCTTAGGTCGACTGTCATAACTGCTGCCTAGGTAGATCGACCAATTTAACGATTAAGACAAAACAATTCCTGCATCGTTCTGTTTCCGTCAGTTGCTGTCGCGCTTCACCAACCTAGTTTGCTTCAGCTTTCCATTTTATAGTTGTAAAGGCCGGATGTGATTTATAGAAAATATGCTCCTCGAAACCTTGTATTCTTACTTTTATATTTTTAACACAAATGCGCTTCTGCTATAACATTTCAAGCGCTTGTATCCTGCTTTGAGATTTAAAACGAATGAACGCCAGTTTCCCTGTACATATTGTCAAGCAGATGAGAGGTCGGCCTAATCACAAGAATCATCTATCAAACGTCCATTTGGATAGGCCAATGCACACCTGGCAGATTTGGACCCTGAGGTACAAACAAAAGTTAGCTCGCGGCTTGTAGTATAGTGGCAACATTATTGCTGTACAGAACCTTTAAAAATCGCATTGGACAGTATTCTCAGGACACTATGAGCTATTGCTTACTCTCATCTTTCATTCTGAGGCCCATATGTCATATCTGACTGACGAGAAAGGATGTCTGTCGGTCCTTTTAAAGGATATGTCCCCTTCGCTTTACAGAACGGGAGAGCTACTGCTTACGCTCAGGTTGTTGCAGAAAGCTTGGCAGAAAAGATCCACAAGAAAATAGCTCCGGCGGAGGAATGCCTATGTGGAAGAATGTCCACAACGCAATACATGTACAAGACAATTAGTTCTTTCAAGTCCACACAAATCAGCGTTTTGAAAATTCATCAAAATTGACCATGTTATTTATCTGCGGCAATAACAAGATATCACCTTTGAACTTCGCCTCCAGCAACTGCACATGGTTGCTATGAAACAATGGTATATGGTTGGCGGCATTCGGTTTCGGATTTGC